TGGAACCCTGGTTTGGGTGGGCAGGACAGCTTCCTCACATCATCGCGACCATCTGGTGGCAATCCGAGAAGCATCCTCGGATACATCACCATCTGGAACGGAAGCTTGATCCCAGATCGGATATTCACCCACCGACCCATCGAGGTTATAAAGGCTTGCGTAGGCAATGCTAGAATTGCCTAAAACCATGTAGTGGAGCCCCTACTGAAATGGCCAATGAAAACTGATTCGGACCCGGTTTCCGGGTCGTCAGAGCTTAGGGGTTCATTTGCCGGGGTCAAATGGGTCAAATAGGACCGGGTTTCACGTTTGATACGTTTGATGAGAGGGTATTCTCAGGGTCTATGCTTTTCAGAGTGTTATCATCTTTGGCAGCCGGACTTATTTAATCTAGGCCCTCCAGCAGCGAGGTTAGAATAAGGGTGCCCTTTTTTTCTGTAGTCTATTCTAGTAGGGGAGCCCTCCCGCAAAAAAAGGTAAAAGGGCACTACTGGGGGACCTAGTAATGTTGCAGATGCAACTGACTGGCGGCACAAACCAGATGGACCTTTGAAAGGGACACCGCGAGCAGTTCTTTTCTTGTTTGCAGACTCCAACCATCAGCGCAGGCCGCTTCCAAAGCCATGTCTTAGGCATGCCCATGGGATTACGACAAGGGGGATGCAAGACAGCAGCGCCCAAAACACCCCCATGTGATAAAACAACCTTTGAGGGTTTTATCACGCACTCCGTCTGGGGTTTAAACATTTACTCACTTGAGCGGAGAACGTTCCGAAGAGGTTCGAACTGTTTGGTTCCATGTCACATGGTGAGACCAAAATGGCTGTGGGTCAAAAATGTGTCCCCCAAATGGAACCCTGATAAATGGAAACATGAACCAAAACCTGGTCCCCTTGGTGGAATTTTGACCCATACCCAAATGTATCAAGTCCGGGTCAGGAACTGGCCCGCTGGGCTAAAGCTGAAAAAACCCTATGACGTGTTCTGACTCTGGCACCCATTTAGCCCTAGCCCTGAAATCTCTTTGGAGGAGACACCCGTTTCGAGATAGAACGTCAGTTTCTGGTGCACCCAAAAAAACTCGTTTCGGGCTCCGGGCTGGGGATCCTCACTGCATGTCCCATATCCAAACCCGAAGCAAACCAAACACCCCACTCCACTCCCCCCACTTCACGCACCCAATCCAGTGCTTCGGAAAGGGCCCATGAAACAAAACAAAAACCCATGGGTTGCAAGGCGCATCGTGGCTGTGCATGGTGGCACACAGCCTTAGATCGAATCCGAAACTTGTTGCAGATGCCAACCACTCACTTCCAAACGAGTGGATTGGCCAGAAGAGAAAAACCACAAAGTCCACGAACTCAGGGAGTGTGCCTCATGATTGGCATGGACTTTTTGAAGCATTCCCTGGCTAAGTAGTAAAACGAAGTAGCAAGGGGTCCAAGCCCTTTGGTTCTAGAAATCACCTGTTCGGCTCATTGAAGGCGGCAACCGTAGCTCTTGGAGAAACCATCATCTTCCATTCGCTTAAGCCCCCAGGAAAGTATAAAAGCATATTTCCAGTAGTCATAGATTCCCTTTTAATTCAACCGTGGAAAATGAAACATATTATTTTCAGCAAATGGCAGTCATTGTCCAAGCAAAAGCAGAAACTAGTTATAACGTTTGCAGGTTAAAAGAAAAGGTCGCGCCTACGAGTTAGGTTCAAAATGGTGTCAAACAACCCTTAATCTTGGTGGCTCTGCCTTCAGCTTCCCGTTCAACCAACTTGACAAGAGACCCCTCAAAAAACGATAGCCCAAATAGGGAATCCCCCAAGCCTGTTCACAACATACCTGGATCTTCCTAAGTCCGATTTTGTCTGCCTTTTCGTCGGAAACTGCTTTTTCAGGAAAGGTCATCATATTGTTGCTTGGGGGCACTTTTCCTGAGTTTTGTTTTTGGGATGTATGCAACAAACTGGCGGAGGCATTTTTCCCCGATGCAAACGCGTTTTTTGGCGATACAAAGGCGTTTTTTGCCGTACCCTCACTACTGGGGGACCTTGGTGTTGAAAGTCGCCGGAAAAAGTCAAAACAACTATTCAGTAGTGATAGATTCTTTAGAACCAAGAGGCGAGGACCCAATAAGGTTAATCTTTGGATCCAACAAAGGAAAACCACAGGTTCACACAAAAGGTCGGTTTTTCTTTGGGCACCTGAGGAAACTAAACCATTCTCTTGAGCCAAATGGAAGTTACCCTCCCTCAACCTGGAACCTGCCGTTCGGGGGTTCCTTGTTTGCACCATGTTCCTTCTAATGGGACCCCATGTCAGGTTCCCTGTGACTTGGTGGGGTAAACAACATGGTCAAGATCCATGTAAGGAATTAAGGCAACTGCACCCAAATTTCTGGTTGAGGCTTCTTCTTTTTTTACTAAGCTTCATCTACCCAAGTTTTGAGGACGTGGCTCAAATGGCAATGGCATGGCGTAGCGCAATGTTACTCGGACAGTATAAGACCTAGCCGGGCCTTCCAAGTTGGGGAACCTCAAAACCATCCGGTGATTGAACGTTAGCTGAAATCTAGTTGAACTTCGCAAGAACTACTGTGGATGGACGAAATCCTGTACCACCTAAGCAACCATGAGACACCATTGCTTGTTGGTATTTACAGGGGAGTCAACAAAAACCAGGGTTTCTTCGGTGGTGCGAATTGGATTTCGTCCATCCACAGTAGTTCCTGCGAACCTCAACTGGGTCCTCCAGCAGACAGGTTAGACTAAGGGTGTCAGCTTTTTTCTGTAGTCTATTTTAGTAGGGCAACCAACCAAAAAAGGGGTTGAAAAAGGCAGCTAGCTGGGGGACTAGTAGGCCTTACTAGAATCCTTGGCAAACCAGCGGCAGTAGAGCCCCTCTATAGTGGCAAAAATTTAAAGTCCTAACATCCAAGCAAAATGCAACAAACCCTCAAAACCTCAAACCCTCAAATCCTGGCACCTCAAACCCTCAAACCCTCAAACCCTCAAATCCTGGCACCTCAAGGCCCTCAAACCCTCAAATCCTGGCACCTCCAACTCTTCCGCGCAAGCCGCGAGCTGCCCCCGGGCATTCCCTCGAAGCGCGCCCCAGTGCAGAAGCTGTGCAAGTGCAGCCAGCGGACGCTCACGGCCTGGGGGGGTTCCGCTGGCAAAATTGCCGGAGATCTGCGGGAAAAAGCGTGGGAAAACGTGTGGAAAATGTGGGGAAGAGGGGAACACGTGGAGCAAACGTGGGGAAGACGTGGGAAAACGTGGAAAACACGTGGAAAACGTGGGGAACACGTGAAGAAAGCGTGGGGAAGACGTGGGGAAAATGTGGGGAAAATGTGGGGGCACCCACAACCACCCGAGAAGAAGGTGGGGAAGTTCGAGCCAAGTGTGGGGGAAGCCTGGCGAGAGACATGCGAGCGAGACTGAGAACAAGGAACCTGTGAGAATTGAATGATGCTCTGAGTTCACCAAAGCAAAAAACTATTCAAAAGCGTCTGCTGGAGGTGGGAGTTCCCTCCATAATAGCAGCCGGCAAAATCCATAATACCCATTAGAAATCCACCCACCCTACAAAGAGGACCAACTTCTTTCGTAACGCAAGGATCTTGCGAACCTTTGGACACCATGTGTCTCAACAGCTTGCCGGGGGGGGGAGGGGTACATCCCTCGAAACATGGAGGGCTTCTACCCTCCACATGGATGGTTTGAGTCATTTACGCTGAGCTGGTTGCTTGCATCCACAAGCATGGACGATTCCCCCCAAAAACTAGGCTGGCGGCCCCCTCGCCGCCGTGAGGCCAAACGCAACTTTTGCAGTTGGGGCCCTTCCGAAACTTGGGTCATACCATCCCAGACAAAGAAAACTTATGGCCTTTCAAAACAAGCCACAACCTCATGTCGCCTCAACAAAACACCGATTTGTACCTGCCAAGTTTGGCTTGGGAAAAAGGACATGTTTCAAAATTACACAACTCACCCAACTTTGTATAGACAGTTGCCTGGCATGTGTGCAGAACGGGTGTGCTTACCAGTGGCATGTGTGCAGTGCTGAGCGGGTGTGCTTACCAGTTGTCTGCGTGTGTGCAGTACTGAGCGGGTGCGCGTGAGCGGGTGCTTACCAGCTGTCTGGCATGTGTGCAGTGCTGAGCGGGTGCGCGTGAGCGGGTGTGCGGAGTCATTTCGGCGGCGAGGGAGCCGCTAGGCAAAAACTACATGAACCCAGAGCAGGAATATGATTCGTCAATCTCATTTAGAGCTGAATTACAAAATTAGTTTTGTGATAGGGTGTCTGCTAAGTGTGTTGTCCAAGCGTCTGGTGAAGCCTTCGAAAGATGGACACAAATGTAATTTGGCCCTTAGGAAATCAGAATCAGGAAAGCGACGAGGAGCCACGACAGATTCAACTCACACCAGTGCATAAAACTTGGCAACCACGAAAAGAATGGGTACACGGCTAATACGATTGTCTGACTCCGGCACTCAGATTCAGTCTACCAACAAATATAAGCAAAATCAGTGGAGAAGCAGTAAAAACAAGTTCACCCGCGGAAATTCGGCAGACTGAAACTGTTGAATTCCACATGGCTGCCAGACTTGATGGACTCAAAAAACCACCTCTCAGTGTGACGTTCGTTAAAAAGAAGAAGAAAAAACAAATATTCTACACGTACAAAAACAAAAAAAACACGAGTAGCTGTTGCATCAAACAAATTCGTGGCTCATGTCAATTCCCATGTGAAGCTCTGCAGCCCTGGTTTGCTCCTGCTGGAACCATCAAAGTGACGACGCAATTACCCAGCAAATAGTGGTTTGCAAGGGAGCGCCCATAAAATTGAAATTACGCTTAAATGAAAGTCTGGCAACCTCTCACTCAGGGAGCCTTATTCTGGCCCTACCCTATAGGCATGACTGCAAGTTGTAGGATTCAATTTGGGTGTGACATGCTCAGCCGATTCTATTCTAATGCACGTCACCCCAGACAAATCTCCGATCCCAGGTGGTATCAGCCCCGAACACTGGAACTCTTCGCATCCGAACGGGCAGAGAAGCCGAGAAGCCATAAGCCAAGCTGCTTGTTCAGGTTTCTGTTGGGGAAAATGCAACATGCTCACTTTTGACCCCCAAGATGGTTGGCTTCCTTTTGGGCTGTGAAACCAACCATAATAGGTTCTCACAAAAAAAAACAAAGAAGAATGGGTTCCCACTAAAAAAGGAAAAGAAGGAAGAAACACCATATAATTGGTTCCCACCAAAAAAAGGCCCACGTTTTGGCCTGCCACGTTTGCTTTTAGGTTTGTTTTTTTCTCTCTCTCTCTCTCTCTCCTTCTCCCTGTGTCTCTAAGCCAAGGGTCCCAAGGGTAGTGGATGCACTGCTGGACCTCGATGATGCGACTTCGCCGGTGGTTCAATCATCACCGGGTGAACCGAGATGGGGTGTCGGATTTCAGGGTACCCTTTTTTGTTCGGCTGGTTTTAGAAGGAAACCAAAAGGGAGAACCACCATTGTGAGGGGCTCCAAGTTTTAAGACACATGAGAAATCACCCATTTTATGCCTTTCCGCCATCCCTAGACTATGTTCAGGTTCGCGGGGTCACCAGCAGACCATAGACGTTTGTTTCCCAGATGAAAGCCCATGACACTTTAAGGCGCAGGGTACCCGGCCAGAGCATGAGCAATGTAACCTACTTGTTGCAGTTGCAAGTCACCGAAGTTGGCCACAATTTACAAGGATTGCCAACCTACGTCAATTGCAAAACCTCAAAGCGGGCTCCCTACAAAAAAACTAGAAACTTGGCTGGTTTTCTCAGTGGGGAAATCCAGAGAAGTTTTGGGAATGAACCTGGGGATCTTAAGCTCAAGGGATGGTTCATGAGAAATGATTTCTTCAATCCCCGCTCAGAACCCAACAAGTAAATTTACGTAAAAGCAGCCGAAGGTGTCCTTTTTCGATTGAAAACATGTTGGCAAATCCCCGCTGGAAGTTTAACTTTTAGTGGTTTAGTGGACACTACAACACCAAGCCAAGCAAAAACATCTCAAAACCTCATCACCAACCAAAAGGGACACCTAGGTCCTCCAGTAGAGAGGTTACAATAAGTCGGTACCAACTTTATTTTTTAAACTTTTTTCTGTAGTGAATGTTAGTAGGGGAACCCTCCCAACCAAAAAAACGGTCAAAAGTTGGCACCCAGCTGGGGGACCAAGCAAAAGGACAAGGCTTTGGGCCATGAGCCAACTGCTTGCCGAAGGGCGGGGCCATGGTGCCCGCTTCCGCGGTACACGTCGAAGCCGCTGTGAAGCATCGCCTTGAGCGTCAGGTAGGCGCCTCCCGTCCGGCGTTGGGAAGGCGTCCCGCGCATTGAGTGCGCCTCGTTTTGGGGGACCCAAAACGAACTCAGATGCCCAGTGGATTTCCATGGAAACAAAAGGGCATCCTGTTTGGCTTGCTTGAGTTTAAAGGAATCGGAACCCTTCCCCAAAAAAATGGGGAAAAAAAACGGAGCCACTGGGCCAGTGGGTCAAACCTGCCCCCCAAAAAGACTGCCCAGGGGTGGTTTGGAGCCCGGCACTTGGCGGTTTCCCCATTGCCACACCATGGTTCTACGGGAACTTGAGACATGAGTAAGATACCGAGAAAAATCAACGCGGAGGCTTGGAGCAACATGGGGCAACCCCAAAAGGGGGGGAAAATACCCAAATACGCACAGGCATGGTTCCCGCATAAGGCTTGGGCATGGTCCAAACCACAAATTCTGAGACACGAGTGCTGTCCACACGGGGAGTGCTGGTTTCTTGCTTTTGCTTTTTGCGTGACCCCCAGGAAACTTGAAACCCTGACATGGGCGATGGAGTTGGTACTTTTCTGGGATTGTTTAGCTATGCTTCAGGGCAGCCAACTTGAAGCCACCATGGCTCGAATTATGCGGAAAGCCCGCATGGTGAGGAAATCTTCAAATATGTTTGACATAATAAATGTATCTACACATACATTGTCCCACACGCGGAAATTCTGCAAAGCCCAAAGCTGGCAGATTTGACGCTGCGCACAGCAGGCAGGACGCCGCTCACAGCAGCCAGGATCCACAGGCACTAGGCCGATTGAAGTTCCACCGGAAGCCGTCCTCTGACCAGTATAGTCCAGTTGCTCCTGCATGTAGAGGCCCTTCATCATTTTCCCTGCACGCCTGTTTGCAGCTTGCCACACATGTGTCGCGCCGCACAGTCCGCGCAAAGGGTTGGTCTGGTGTACTTTGCAGAGTTTGCGTTGACTCTGCATAGGAGCTTGCCCAGGGCAAAAGCGCGCACTTGCAGATATGTCTAGTAATTCTCAAGGGTTGGATACAAGGGACATGTATCATGTTGCTACATACAGCTATAAGTTAGCAGTCCCACGTCTTCCCAGCTGCGCACACACACAATCATCCTACAAAAACAAAAGCCAGATGCGCCTTTGGGAACACGCACTGAAACAAGACTTTACTATATAGTGGCTTGCATTGATGTTGGCCTTCTTTTTAAGATTCGGATTTGCGCACCACAAGCGAACAAGAGGGGGCCAGACTTTGCAGCCCGGCAATCCGCAAAGTCAGCCAGGAATGCTGGGTTTGTACTCTGTGCAACCCAATTACATGCATCCTCACCACCAAGGACACTTATCATCTTGTTCTTTGACTACGTAACATCTTCTTGGGAGGGAGGGGGTAGTTATGAAGGGATTGAAATTTAAACAGAACAATATACAAAGAACATCCTATCCTGCGATTGACGAAGTAAGCTTGAGGAACACCTTCTGCAAATCCGCATAGGCAAGACCCCTTTCCTGACCATACTGTGCAAAATCCACTTGCACAACCTGACATACTGTCAGCAGTGCCAAACCCCATTGTTTTTTGATTCAACTAGCATGGTTGCAAAGGCGTTGATCTCTGCTTTGCTATGATCCCAATGAAACCTGGTAGGCACCGAACCCACCAAAAAGGTTGGTTTGAGGACCTGGGCTTTGGACGGCTGCTCATGTCTTTTGGGTCCGATCCACGATTTGGGATCGAGCCCGTCGACTCTCATGTGCCTGGCTTGGATCGCAAGTCGTCCTCGGATCGCCCGGGATCCAACTCGCAGGAAAAGCAGCGCCCCCTTTTGCCCAGTGCTTCCAGTCAACACTACTCAGCTTCCCTCTCTCCAACATGGAACCTGACTGAGGGCTCCTGGAAGCCTAAGTTTTTTTTTGGGTCTTGTGTTCCATATAAGTGGACTGGAGGGTGTGCTTTGGAGCCCGGTGGCTGGAGGGTGGGAAACCCATCTAATTTACCTCAAGAACCAGAAGTTCAACTCCCAAACCGAACTGTGATGCTGGAAAACAAGCCTTTCTGTGATATCACAACCGACCATCGTTATGATTTGGGGGGTGCCCCCGAGCACTAACAGTTAAATAAAGCCATTTATACATAATACCCCAGCCAAAATGACCACCAGCAAACCCAAATTGGTTTTGGGTAAGCACGCCCCACCAATTTTAGGTTGCATGTGTTTCTTGTTTATATGATTGTGCAGTGGGGGGTGGTGTCTTTTCTAGTATAATATAGGTAATATATAGGGTGCATGTCCCTTCTGGCTTTTGGTGCTGCACTTTGGGGGTTGTCACTGTTTGTAGGGACATCACATGACATGTGACATGTGACATGTGACATGCTGTGACATGCATAGAGGCTAGACCATGAATAATGGCCAGCTAAACCCATAGAAAGCATTTAAGGAAACCTGTGAAAGCACACCTCCTAGGCAAGGGAAATCCCAGGAAGGTCTTCATGAGAACCCTTAAGGAAACCCTCAAAGGAAACCTCCAAAGAAGGCCCTTAAGGCACACCCCTAAAGAAGCCCTGAAGGGAAACCCTTTGGAAGCCCTCAAAGGAAACCCACAAAGGTAACAAGGTCTGGAGGTTTTCCCTCCAGACCTTAGCCAGGGAAACCTGGAAGCTTCTAAAGCCCCAAAGATATCCCTCCACCCCCAAAAATGCTTTAAAGAGAACCTTTGCAGAAACTTCTGAACAAAACCCCTAAGGAACCTCATAAGGAAACCACTAAGGGCACCCTTAAAGACTCAAGGAGTCTTGTAAGAAAACCTAAGGAACCCTCTACTGAAAAAACTTTTAAGGGACCCCCCAAAGGAAGCCGTTCCCTTCTTTTTCTAGCACCAACAAAATGCATTAACAAAAAACCTTTAAAGCCTTTACATAAACTTCTGAGAAACCCCTAAGAAGCCTCATGAAGAAAAAAACCCTAAAGAAACCCTTAAGTTGAAGACTCAAGGGATCTTGTAAGAAAACTTCAAAACCTTTGTGGATACCCTCAAAGGAAACCCCAAGGAAGCCCTTAGGTGACCTGCTAAGGACACCCCTTAGAGGCAACTCCACGCCCTAAAAAAATACAAAAGGAAACCTCTAAGGAAAGTTTCAAGAACACCTTCTAAGGAAGCCTCTTTGGGAAACCCTGACAGAAGCCCCCTAGGAAACCCGTTTTCATGAATCTGAATTAGTCACCATCCATAGTTCATACCGTATAGTAAGAATACTAAGTTAAATAGTCAATAAATTGAATAATAATTTGTATCATTTGTATTATCATTATCATTTATACAGTACAACTTGAACACTAAATATAAATAATTAAAAATCATATATCTTATACTTATATCATACTAATTATGGACTATTATGAAAATTGTATTAAATTATTTGCATTTTATACAAAAATGTAAATAAATTGAGCTGGCTAAAATATAATATAATATAAATAAAATTAGAAATTGTAAATTATACAATATAAAGTAATGAATAGACCTATGCCGCATGCCTATGCCTATGACTCAATGACTTATGACTAATGCCTTATGACTCATACTTATGACTCATAACTTAACTCAACTTATAACTTATAACTTATGACTTATGACTTATGACTTATGACTAGACTATGCCTCTGACTATGACTAAGATACCCCTGAGAAAACATATTAAGGAAACTTGCAAGGAACCCATAAGGGGCACCCCGAAGGAAAACAAGCAAGGACCCCCCAAAGGACAACCCTAAGGAAGGCCCAAGGAACTATATGATATGATATGATTCGATAATGATTCATGATATACTGTACTTATACTGTATACTACTATATGATAATGCGGCGAGAATGAATATCATAATCGTTAGTTCTTATGAAATCTTCCGTTGCAGGTCCGACATAACCATTCATCATAGTCAATATTATATTGACACTAAGTTATATTATTATATTTACAACTTATTATATGGTAAGTATTTGGTCATACTGTACATTAAATTATATCATATAGTTATTATAATTATAATAGGTATACAATTAAAATTGCATTATATGTTATAATCTATATATGTACGATTAGACCTACAAATTCTGTGTTGCAATGCCGCGCCTACAGTCTACAGTCAATAGAATAGTTTACTAGTTTATTATGTAACTTATCACGGTGTGAGACAGGACCATGCCAGTGTCACATGTCATCATGTCACGAGTCATGTCACGAGTCATGTCACATGTCCATACGTTGCCATGCGGCTATACGATTCTCATGCCAATGTAGGACGTGCAGCCACCGAGACTCTGACATGCACACTTATACAATATATAGCCTTATTTAGCACGTGCGGCTGGCTGATTATTTTCACCCCGGGTTTCACGAACCTGGTCATTTTTGAGTTGCTGTCAGACGTACTGTTGTCAAGGGCTGCGACACGGCTTGGACTCCGGCCATTTCTGCTCACCGTCAATGTGAATATGTGTTGAAGGTGGCTTGTCTTGTGTTCGTTGGCGAGTCAGGCCTTTGACTCAGACCTCTACTCGCTACTGTATCGAATCGAACCCATCATCAGGTAATGTAACTTGTAACATCCAGTCACATCCTCTGCACCCTCGTTTTGTCGTATTTTGTTTGATACTGGACATGACGAAAAGGAGGTGTAAGCGGGGAATGTAAACATTTGCAACTTGAAGGGTGCTGCAACATGTATTGGTGGAGGGTCAGTGGCCAGCCTGACAGCCATGCCTCGGAGACCATTGCAGCCGAAGCTGGATTCTAGAGGCCGCATTTCAGCAAATCACCAACGACAGCTGGGTGATTCTCAGCAATTGGCTGAAGACGCCCAAGCTGTGGTTGCAGCAGTGGATCCTATTGACTCGAGAATCTTGGCTGTTTGAGTGGGCAGTGGGGCAGCTGCTGGTTTGTACTTCAAGCGGTATTGTCACAACTGTCACTCTCTCACTGAACTTATGTAACTTTGGTGCCATTTCACCCATTCCATGGCCCATGGCTGCTTTTTCGGGCACAGCGTGGGGCAAGAGGTTGTTGTTGAGCTTCTGAAATAGAGTTTGGGCCCTGCACGGCTAACTTTAAACCGATTGGACCATTCCAGTAGCTGAAGGCTGCAGGTATGGCTGTAGGCTGTAGTAGGCCGTAGGCTGTAGGTTATGGCCCATGGCTTGTGACTGAGAAATCGACCAGTCCCGTTTCAATGAGTGAACGAATGAAATGGTTGAGCGCATTGTAGTCTACTGCGTGAGTCCTAACCATTTGACCATTTCTCTTACACAGCGCGCGGTTCATGTAGACAGCTCGACAGCTGTTTCAAGTGATTCTCTCATACCATATGGCAATGGGCGATGGCCATTGCACACATGCTGCAAAAGATCATCTATCAAATCGATACATGTTACATGAGACATATCATATCGTACCGAATCATACCGAATCATACTCATACCATACCGTACCACAGTCACATATCATATCAGAATCATAGAATCATAGTATCATGACTGATTCTGATTCATTCGATCACACCCGTACCGGGCCACTAAGCCCACCCAGCTTTCCGGCGCTCGCCATTGCCTCAGATGCCAAGGTGGGAAAGTCAAGCTGGAGAGCCTGGTGTCACACGCCTTCTCGGGAATTAAGCGCAAAGCTGCGGAGTACATCTGCTCCGCCAGCAATGTCAAGAAGAGGGAGAACCGAAGCATCATGATCACCGCTGCATCGTTCCTGGATGCGCAGCGGAGGCGCACCAGCGCCAGAAACCGGCCCTTGGAACTTAGCGGTGCCTTTGTGCAATAGCAATAGCAAGCTGGCTCTCAATTGACACTTGTTTCCTGTCACACACACAGAGCAAGTGAGCTTGAAATCAAATATTCCTTGTCACACCAGCGCCGCAACTGCGCAGCTTGTTACAGGTCAGCTTGGTCACCATTGCAGCTTGTTACATGTGCAGCGTAGGCTGCGCGTGGCGAAGGGCCCCCCATAGCCTATAGTCTATAGTCTATAGTCCACAGTCTGTAGGCTGTAGGCTATGGGTCATGGGCTACAATGACGGGGTGCCTGACGGGACCATGACTGAGGAATCATCAATGTGTTTTCCTCCGGGTAGGGTCGCTTGATCTTTGTTATTTAGGCTTATTGGCACGGCGCATTCTACATTTTGCGTTCCGAGTTTTGCACAAAGCGAGGGTTGCCCAAGGCCAACGCTCTTCCAGTTGTCCAGTCCACGTTCTGCAGTTCCAGCATCCAGGTGGCAGAGGTTACCCCTTGAGAAAGAACTGCAAAGTTGGCGCGAAACAACAGCAATGAATCCGGAATGAGAAGCAGCTGGTCCTCCTAGTTTTCACCCCGTGTTCCGAAAGAGTTTTTTGAAGCTGAGTTGTTTGGTTTTGAACCGTACCGTAATCTACCAAGGCCCAATAGTTTCAACCAAACATCAGCCTTGGCACCTGACATCGACACCAGTATAAATTATGCCATGTGTGCTGTAGTTATGCTTCCGACATGTTGAAGCTGACTGCCCGCAGGGCCTTCCAAGAACAAGTTGTCCCGGCGCCTGGGCAAGTCCCGCAACATGAGCGGCATCGGTTCTGTGGCATCACCTTCGGCTGGGATGAGACGAAGCAGAGGCACCTCCCATCCGAGGACCTCCTGCGGGGCAAGGACGGCGAAGATGATGGCGCAGCGCCGCACGAGCCGGTCACAGAGTTACTTTTCCCGAATCCTGCGGTTGTGTAGCTTTGTGACAC